ACTTTGAATTTAAGTCACTATAGATGCTAGCTCAAAACTTGTATTTTTTTGGTTACCAAAACAGTAGACTTTGGAATTTATTTATTTTTTGGTTGCCAAAGCAGTAGACTTTAGAATTTAAGTCACTGTAGATGCTGGCTCAAAACTTGTATTTTTTTGGTTACCAAAGCAGTAGACTTTGGAATTTAAGTCACTATGTATGTTAGCTTAGAACTTGTATGTTTTTTTGATTACTAATTAAGTAGACTTTGGAACTCATAAACTGATTGCTTATGGGTACATGAATATGAAAGTTAGATTTTCATTTCCTTTAATTTGATAGATATACATTAGGTAGGACTTATGGCATTATCTAAGACCAAAAATAGCCATTATCTTCTTGGTCATCATACAAGCACAACTATTTTCTAGTTGGCTAGGAAAAAAAAGATAAAACACAACACAACCACCAAACCCAAATTCACAACAAAGAAATTCCTTTGAAATTTATTCATCTGTTCCTCAATTCATCTCTACACAACAAAACCTAGATTGTCACATGTCGAATCAACTGTAGACTTAATCTCTTCAATGGCAGACTCAATAGATATCACTTTCGCAATTAGCTTTTTAAAGCTTTGGCAATGTCATCATTTCTTCACCATTTTGGCATTCTTTAAGCTCATCAAAATTAGATTGCAAACATTCATATTCCAATTTTAGGTGCCAAATAACATTAAGTGCTCTTCCAACAATCTCAGCATCATGCCACTCAAATGCATTACAAGGTTCCACTTCCTCTTGTTGAAAACACAATGATTGGAGAAAAAAATAAAGCATTGTTCCCTGAACATTAGAATTTGATTCAATCCATTAAACTTACAAGAAAAAACATACAATCAACTAAAAAAATAAAATTTCCCTTAGCTCACCCTGTAATATCGACAACCATAAAATCTTCTTCCTACATTTGATTTAGTCCATGCAGTGATTCTTGGAGAAACAGTGCCACAATTGCAATACCGTATCTTACCTTCATACCTGTATGTTGGTTTAAAGCACCTGGTCGCTATCGAGCAACTCCAAAATGACTTTTTGGGTGTTGAGTTTTTGTTTGCAAAGCTTTTAGGTGCAGAGCTTTTTGGTGTAGAGGCAAAGGATTGGGTTGGTGAAGACTGAGATCGAGGCATCTTCACGATTGAGATTGAGAAAGAGAATCAGAGAAGCAACAAAACATAGATTGGAGGAAAAGAATGGTAAGAGATTTGAGAGAAATTTTTAGAACCCTAAAATCCCAAATCTTTTAGGTATCTCATGGATGGTCGATCAAGGCATCTTCACGATTGAGAAAGAGAATCAGAGAATCAGAAGAGATAGGAGGAAGAGAATGGTAAGAGATTTGAGAGAAATTTTCAGAACCCTAAAATCCCAAATCTTTTGGGTATCCATCGGGTATCTCAATGTTATGAATGAGTCGATGGATTTGTATTTAATTGACCCACTGATGCCGCGTTGAAGCCACGTTGGAGCCACATTGGATGAAAATGCCACACAAGCCATTACACTAATGGTGTGACAGAGCTCAATCAGCGGAGGGGCTAATTTGCTCCTTATGTGGGGATTGAGGGCTTATCTACCACTTTTTTAGTTTAGGGGCTTATTACTAGCTGTCAAAAAAGTTGAGGGGCTTAACATGGGTTTTGCCTTACTATGATTAAGTACATGGTCAAGACGCACCATGTAACTGCAGTCACGGCTGCGGGTGCATTGATTTCTTGACTGACTTGAAATGATAATAGAAAAGTGTATGTATGTAGGAATAAAAAATGGTTTTATTTAATTCATCCAAAACGTTGTCATTTTGTGATTTTTGTGTGTGCATCACGTTTTGGTTTCGTAAGACCCGTTATGTTTTTATCATTTTCGCCGTCGTGGAGGGTGCTTCGCGAACCATAAAGAATGCGTATTTGTTTAAATTTCATTAAAAAAAATACCAAAAACGAATATTTTAAAAAGTAAAATCCTTCTTTTATAAATTGAAAATTTTGTTAAAAACATAAATTAAAAAATTAACTATTTTTTTAAAAAAAATTAGTGTTGAGTTTAAGTAAAAGATGTACGTATTTAAAGACTATACTATAATAGATAAACTAATATATAATTTAGGAAATAACTTAAAAAAATTAGTATCTTCCCATAATCTAACTCACAAGGTTAATATTGTAGAGTCTCAATTTTTAAGTTAATCATTCAAAATTAACACACATTAAAATTAAAACTTCTTACCATAAGGACATTTGGATGGGAAAATATAGAGGATTTAATATCAAGTAGTCCTTCTTTTATTTTAAAATTTATATTTTAAAATTTAATATGATTTAAATTACAAAATAATTTTTGTTAATAAAATCTTTGTACCAATATTTGTAATGTTTTGGAGCTGGAAAGCAATGATGCAGATTGACATTTGACGAACCCTACTACAAGAAAAGAACAAAAGACAAACGGACTTGGTATGAACATCCAACAAGGTTCA